CACTGAGAGAACACAATACACAAGAACACAACATTATTGCAAATGCAGTAAAAATCGTAAAAGTTATTTGAAATTTGGTCTGTAAAGATAAACACGTTGTTGTAAAAGTATTTTATATCGTTTCGTATATTTTATATTAGCATCTTAATTGTTGATAGAATAATGAGTATGAAATCCAATTTGATGTGTAATGTATAGTTTTGTTTGTCTTGAAACAGTTTACATTTGTACAAGAAAATATGATTAATTGTTGTTATTTTGCAAATGAGTATCATTTCGTCTTGTATTCTCTTTCCAATTGTTATTTTGATAACATGTATATTGTATAAGTTTATAATTCATAATGTCAAAGAAATGCCATTACATTATAATTTGTGATTTTCAATGGTTTTGATTCAATATTGTACCAACGAACTATGATTTTCTATATTATAAGCTTATATGAAAATAACAAGAGGGGAAAAATGAGCCTGGCGTCACGACAAAACCAAACCATAATGGTTTTGCGACCAGCATTGGATCCAGACCAGCCTCCCGCTTTCCGCCCCCAGTCTGATCAGGATCCATGTGTTCAAATTTACCAACTTTTTTAAAGAAAGGAGAAACTGATAGCGAACACCCATGGATCCTGATCAGATTTGCGGGGATGTTTTGGTGAAAAACGAAACAAACCGTTTTTTTTTGTCGTGACGCGGCTAAATTTCCCTTTTTCTGTCATATATTTTCCCTTTTTTGTACAATTTTTGGGGGCAGTTCTGTGAAAATTGATAAAAAAGGGAAAAACATTTTTCCGTTTGGTTTCTCTGTTTTAATGTTAAAAATTAAAAATTATTAAAGCTTTTTATAATTTGCTTGTTTTGGGAGTTACAGAAAATTTTAAATTGGTCTAAATGTTTTAAAAACAAATGACGAGACGGGGCTAGACTTAGCTACTGAATATTGAAATTACTAAATGAAAATCAAACCACTTAAAATTTTCACAAAATAGCATAATAAAAAAAATGCATATTTAAACTATTGTCAGTTATGTAAATCTTATAAAGGTAAGAGGGTAAAAAGTGGACAATTTCTGTGCATATGTATATTCTTATGAGCTTGTTATTATTTAATATAACAAACGATGATAGGAGCACGGTATTAAATAAATGTTTTTTATTAAACACAATTTATACAAATAAATGAATCATGCAGTTAAAGAGCGTCTCCTTATTAATGCATTCGACAAATTTTAAATAGAGACATTTCAATGTCATGAGATTATTACATGGATCCTATAACATGTGAATTTTAAATAGCCTGCTTGAGTTCTGACAAATTAAACATTAATTTGGTTCCATCACATTAATCAAATATAATAAAAATAGAAAAGTAATAAAACGACAACAAAAGCATTGATATAATGTACTTGAACAGAATTTTGTCCGATTTAACTAGACTAATTTTAATCCTTGTTATACAAATGTATAAAGCGTCCCCAATGAATAAGTAACATAAATTAGTTCCATGGTAACCGCCGTATGAACACATCTGCGGATGTTTCTAAATTCAAAATTTCACCATTTTCATGTTTAAATTTTGAATTCTGCTTAAGCCGGTGCTATGGGGCGTGGACGGTACCGTCTTTCCAGTACCGTCTATGAAACAATCAAACCGAGCCTGCAACATTTTCAATGTTGTCGTTTTAGGCTTTATTTAAGGGATTCCGTTTTCTTCTATTTTGAAATAAGACATCTTTTCATATGTAGTTCACTTTAGTATTAACCGAATTAAGTAAATCTAATGTAGATATATTCAGTTTAAATTCATTTTTGATATATTGATTACATTTAAAGTTGTTTTTCACTTGAAACGTTTTAACCACGCGAACTACGCACCGATCGATCCGATATCTACCCTTATACATGTATAACTATATGTGTACCTAATTTCTTCATAAATAAATAAAATGTTTTGTTGAAAGCGCCAAATTGGATCAAGGTCAATACTTCAACCAATCGATTTTGGCAATACAAATACATGCTTGAGCCCTGTTTGCTTTTTGTAATACGCACAAATCTTTTGTCTAGTCTAGTACAAGTGTTCGTTTTGGTCTAATATAGTAACCTTTTACATGGTTTAAATGTAGCGCTTGATTTACTAAACAACATCTTTTACTGTCAAACACGCCAAGGTATTAAAGTTGGCTGTAAATACCACTTTTAAACAAATATATTCTTTATAAACATATTTGCAGTAAACATTACTTTTGTCCACGGTTACAAATGATCGTTATGGGCTAATATAATTCGTAACATTTTATACATGGTTGAAATGTTGTGTCTACATGGTTGAATAATTTATTGCGAAACAGCAAATATGTCATTCCTTTATTTAGTTAAACACATTCGGTAAAGAAAAGCGGACACGTGGGTATTTTATGGATGTATGGTTTAAATGATATGTGAATCTTTGTGTGACCATGACTCGTTATTTAGCTCAAAGTTTTATGGTTTATCTTGTGATATTGCTGTTGACAGGTAAAAATATATTGATACATATACCTTTATATTGTATGTCTTTTGTTTTGACCATTTTAAGTGTATGTTTTTCGATATTTTAAGGATTTATTTTTCAACAAAGAATCTATAGCGGGTACCGCCCGACTTAATGAATTATTTGGGGTTTTTAAGACGACAGATTGCACGCCAATTTTTTTAAGAAAATAAAGAAAAAGACATTATTTGATATATAAAGTTCATTGACTACATATGATTGGAAACCTTCTGAAGATTCAACTTAATAAATGACTCTTGAATGTAGCACCTTTTCGTGTTCCACTTCTAACCTTACATTTCTACATAAACGTTTTAATGATCTTCTTTAACAAAAATGTGAACTATGTATGTTAAACCATGCTGACAGTCAGCCATGTACACATATACAAATAAACCATAAAACATTTTATGACAAACACAATCATGAATGTTGACATAAAAGCAAATTGATCATAAAATCTTTAAGAAACATTAAAATCCGGTGTGAAAACCACAGACCAATCCTTTCACATTTGTTTCTTTGTAATGCGTGTAAATATTATCTCGTTTTGAAAACAAAAGTGAAAAGAAGCTTACATTCCTGCTTTATTTGTCCTTTGTGCAAACTAGTGTGTGACAAGAAAATGTTATCCTTTCTTACATATATCGAAATGGATGATGTAATAAGAAAATATTATATCGAAATGATTGAAATGTTTGATATAATTAGAAAACACTAAAAAGAAATGTATGATGTAATTACAAAATACTATATCGAAACGATCGAAATGTTTTTATTTAATTAGAATATACAATATGGAAATGATCGAAACATTTGATTTAATTAGAAAGTACTATATCGAAATGTATGATATAATTAGAAAATACTGATATAATAAGAAAATACTATATTGAAAGGTTTGATATTACTTGAAGATATTGTAACACAAACTTTTTATGGTTGGGTATTATCAATCTGTTGCTCAAAAGAAGATATATCAATATTATAAGTTTCAAAAAACATTATTTAAATAAAGGGAGGTAATTAGAAAAAAAATCAATACAGTCTAAGCCAATTTTTACAATAAAAACTGAATTAATTAACTACAATGTTTAATTCTGTGTAATTAAACATTTCCTGTACATATTGAACTCATTCTTGGATTTTTGGAAATTGGTTTAAAAGAAAAAGAATGATTATATACAAATATTTATATAAAACTTCTATTAACAGTTATTACAACCATAATTACAACATACAGGATCTTTAACGTAAACTTGCTATTTTTATAAATGAGCCGCGTCACGACAAAACCAACATAGTGCGTTTGCGACCAACATTGATCCAGACCAGCCTGCGCTTCCGCGCAGACTGATCAGGATCCATGCTGTTCGCTTACCAAAGTCTATAACAAGTAGATAAACTGATAGCGAACAGCATGGATCCTGATCAGACTGTGCGGATGCGCAGGCTGGTCTGGATCCATGCTGGTCGCAAACGCACTATGCTGGTTTTGTCGTGACTCGGCTCATTATTGATTTACAACTACCATTATGATGCGTCAGTCCAGTCATAGATGAAACCTGACTATTATGAAATTGATCTATCGATCACTTACCTACCTTCACATAAAATACTATTATTTATGCATAAATGGTCATGTGTATAATATCTGTAAGACCGAGGGAAAAATCTAAATAGTTCAATGATATATTTCTATAATCTCATATAAGCAACTTAAAGAACATTTATAAAATTACATTTCACCTTAATTCAAATGTGATGACTTTAAACAGATTGAAATATAGTGTGGTTAAAAGGTGATTTTTATATATATATAAAGTAGCATTTTAATAATGCTGTCGACATGCACGTCCATTCCGTTTTACAGCACGTCTAATACGCCATCGAGTTTACCCGAATTATTTGTAACATCGGATTAAGCATTTCTTCTTACATAAAATAACATTCATAAGAAAGTTTACCTTGAATTAAAAAAAAGAAATGTATAAATTAAATATATTAGTGACTTTTCATATGTTACTTAACCTTATAAATCAAATACCATGAATCAATCTATTATCTACACTCTACTTGTAGAATATTTCTATAACTCGTACATGTTTGTTTAATTTCGTCATAATAAATAATAAAATATTTAAGTCAAACACACCGAAGCTTTAATTAGATCGAGGTCAATAATTTCTACATAAGACCCGCAAATGAACCAGTTTTGGGAAAAATATGGCTTATATATTCTTAATGCGTATTTGTATTACACAAAGCTTTTGTCCGTTTGTATTCATAAAAAACGTCCTGTGCCAATATAGCAGGATTAATAATATCTGTCATATTTTGCGGTTCGGATCGGAATATCCGTCCCGAGGTGACCCGCCCATTGGGCGGTAACGAGGCTTGCCGAGTTACCGCCCATGGGTGGGTTCCCGAGGGATGGATATTCAGTTCCGAACCGCAAAATATGACAGATATTTTTTCTTGCATATTCTACCATATTCCATTATATTTTAAATTCTTTAACTTTATTTTCAATGAAAATTTATATCATTACAACTGTAACTACTTTCATTCAACAGCGTATGAATTCATAACGGTAAAATGACGTCATCTTTATCGTGCCATTGTACAGCACGCGACTCATCTGGAACCCCCCATGCCAGATGAAATTTCCGGCATGGGTAAAACTAACGGAAACGCCAGTCTGATATGCAAGAAAAAAGTGTTGTGTTTGACAGTTGAATAATTAATCTATTGCGAAATAACAATTCATCTTAAAACAGCAAGCGGGCCAATTAAATGGATTCTAAAATGAATTAAAACTGCACCCGGATATACGTATTTAGGCACTTCGATATTGTTTGGTTTAATTAAATGTTAGAAGGAAATGACTATGATGCGTATTATATTTCATCTTGTAATATGGCTTACGTTAGGTAAAATATTCAGTGGTACTGTTGCACTGTTTTCCTTTGTATTTATGAATTTAGATGTTTACTGGTAGTGGTGTAAAGATGGTGTATGTTAGCAATGATTGTATGTGTATTTTCTAATTTAAAACGCAAAACCTCTCATATAATCAAAAATTAAACTAAATATCCAATACATGTATATATGATAATATCAATTACACAAATAATTTATAATTGTACAAATCTTTGTTTACAACGAAATTGAATAATAGTTGTTTACAATCGTTGACTTTCTTGGCGCTTAATCTCATGTATGTGAACTAACTTAATATTAATTACATAATTATGTTCATTATAACTATAAAATATAAATGCATCAGATTTTACTTCTCTTATAAAATCAAAATTGTTGTGTTAAATAATCTCTACAGCATTTGAGCCGCGCCACGACAAAACCAACATAGTGCGTTTGCAACCAGCATGGATCCAGACCAGCCTGCGCATCCGCGCAGTCTGATCAGGAGCTGTCAGTTTCTCAACTTGAAATAGAGTTTGTAAGCGAACAGCATGGATTCTGATCCGAATGCGCGGGTGCGCAGGCTGGTCTGGATCCATGCTGGTCGCAAACCCACTATATTGGTTTTGTCGTGACGCGGCTCAATTGTTATACATTATGTTTTTGTGAGGTATCTGCGCAATTCTTAAAACTTATTTAAATGTCGAGTGATAATAAAACATTAAAATTATATTGTTTTAAAACATAAATCTTGAGTAGCAAATTGGAGAGAAATTCTCGAATGATTATATCAAATGCTTACACATCCCAATCCAATTTGTTCATGTCGTCATTTCCTTCTATGCGTCCCTTTAAATAACAACGCATTACAATTTGTATTTCTTTATGTAACAAATAATAAATGTCATAGCTAAAATTCCTGCTTTCATATTTAAACAGAAAACTCCTTTTTATTATAAATGAGACAGATCTACAAATTGTTTCAAATTATCGTTATCTTTTAAAATTTACTTTCACTTATTTTATCGAACAGTGTTTGTGTTTTATTAATCAAGGAATAAACAATTTAGACAAACAGAATTACAACCTTCCTTGTCAAGTCATTTGAGTAAATGGTAATATAACGAAATCACTGAACTTTCAAATGATTCAGATTTTCTACTGCAGTGGCAAATACGGAAAACTCTTATACTAGTATATTTATATTATAATATATTCCGCATTGAAAATATGAAATTTAACAATCAATATATTCTATTCGAGTGTACTGTAGCAGGAATAAATATATATCAAAGCAATTCTTTAAACATGCATTTAAAATTGCATTAATTATTGTCTAAAATGTCAGGATAATTCTTGCATTATTATAATGTAATGATAAATAGCACAAATTTAACGACTTATCCAATCTGATCCAGGTTTAATCGCCCCTGGAGATGGCAACAATGAAACATCATCTTCACATGCAACAGCTTCGCTTTTGGGACCGTCAACAACTTCAACAACTGTGATGATATCTGCAAGTCCTACACTAAAGCTTTCATCTTCAACAAATGCCAAAGCATCAACTGCAGTGGCTGATACGGGAAACTCTTATACTTCTTCGCTGGTCAGATTTACGACATCTCCAATATTAGACACAACGTCAGTTATGCTTTCAAATCCATCAATTCAACCTTCTTCTGCTCTAACGGCATCTACTTCTGTATTAGTTAACTCGAGCACGTCAGGAACGGCAAATTCCCCCGCAACAAGCGATGCATCGCAGACTGATAATTTAGATAGTAGCTCTTCTCAAACGCCTGCACTTTCTTCATCTTCATCACTGATAAGTACATCACCAATAACAACGCAAATATCTACAAGTAGCTCTGTACCTCAGTCTCAAACTTCTAACTTAATGAATACTACACAAACTTCCGAAGTGGCTGTATCTTCATCAGTAACTGCTTTACCAGTATCAACCAGCTCAGTATTTGTAACATCTGTCTCACAATTATCTTCCACTATGTCGGAAACAACAGTTTTAACAACTTCGAGTATATTACAGCCTTCTTCAACGGAAGTCATTCAACCAACTTCATCAAAGTCTACCTCTAAAACGAGCCATCTAATATCATCATCAACCGAGTCCAGCACAAGTTCATCATCTTCAAGGACGTCCTCCTCATCTTCAATGTCTTCATCTATTTCTGATTCAATCAAACCAACTTCAAGCTCAACAGTTACGCCTTCGTCAAGTGCGACAACACCATCGCTAAGCTCTTCTACAACAACAGCAGGAGGTCATGCTGCTAAGACGAAGAAGTCCGGTCCATCTGCCGGAGGGAAGGCTGCCATTGGAATTTTCGTCACAATCTTGATACTTGCAGTCATTTTTGGTGTACTCTGGGCGAGAAAGAGGTAAGAAACATTTATATATTTATTGTTTACAATGTATATTGAAGTATTTCTTAAATATGTCTCTTTCTTAAATTAATTGTAAATGTTGGTCCAAAAGATGACAATAACCGATTATTCAAACGCATTTAGATGATAGTTAACTAGAAGTGATTGGTGAAGTGATAATTTACATATATAAATCAGTGACGCATTTTCAAAATAATGATCGCTGTACCGCTTAAGATAACATAAACGTATAATACTTCTTTTCAATCATATAATATAGATCCTGCATGTTGTAATTAAGGGTGTTACCACAACAAAGTGAAATTTTATATACAGTATGTATTTAATTATGCTTCTTAAACAATTTTCAAACATCAAAGAATATGTAAAATATGTACTGCAAAAATATGCATTCATTTTTTATTGAAAAATTTGACTTAGACTTTACTGGTTTGGGAGATAAACTCGGCCGAAAATCAGTGTTTTGGGGGCATATTTCATTTATTTGTTTACGCATTCTGATGAATCTTGCACCATAATAAACTTCAGCTCTTCGATTTTCCGGTATCACCATAAAAGTTATATTTAGAAACATAACGGGTAATTTTGAGAGGCCATGGAAGAGGTACGTAAAAAGGATATTTTTAACGCGCGCGAGTAGATAATTCCGGCACTTTGTTTTTCTTCTTAAATGAGTAAGTTAAAACGTAAAATAACATGTTTAGACATTTTATTATTTCTTTGCTGTTCATTTATGTCAAATAAAAAATATTTGCTACCAAAATTGTTGAGCATTACGTTAGTATAATGAATATAGATATGATAACACGATATTTATATGCAACGTACTATGTAACATATAAATCATTTTTACGCAAAAAACACATGAATTATCATTTATTAACGTATAACGAAATGTGTAGTTAAAAATTTAGTGATTCAAATTTATTTTTGCTTAGCTTAACAGAGTGAAGAAGAAATTAATTTAGTGGTATTCAACCTACACATTAACATATAAAAGGAGCATTTTACATCAGTCTTTCAATCCATTCCACTTAAAGATTACAATTGTGTAATTGATCAGCCTTTTTTCTGAGTTAGCAAAAAAAAAGTGTGTCTGAATTTCATCTACAAAATCTATACGTAAACGTCGTCTGCTTTATCGGTAGTCGGTCAATATATAAAAGTACCCCTGTGCAGGCCTCAAAATGAGAATCTGCTGCACATGCGCACAACAATGGGATTCCCGTACTTTTAATAGGCATGTTTTGTAAACAAACAGGTAAAAGTCTGTGTTATTTTTTAAATATCTTACCAAACTTGACAAAATTTCCAGATATTGTCGAATTCCAGCGATAGTATAAGATGGTGAGCTTGATTAGATTAAAAATTCCGATAACTCGATTTAATTATAAAAAGCCGAGTTTATCAACCGGCCGAAGTTATCTCCCCAACCAGTATAGAAAATAAATTTCTAATTACCTCCCTTTATTAACATGAAAAGTAAATTCGGTAATATCTTTACAAAAAATGCTTTTTGGAACTTACAACATTGATAAATCTTCATTTGAGCATTATATTAATGATATAAAGCCATAAAAAACTTGAGTTACAGGACGTTTAAGGAAGAAATGTGATTATATTTTGTAAATAAGACCGGAGGAGTCTGATAAAGAGTCATGTCATCAACGTATCATGCTCATGATATGTTATTTTTGTTTTTGTACGACGTACAATTACCTGCAACAGCTTGCCACAAATTTGAATTTTTCCGGAAGCAATACTCTCGCGCTGTAATAATGAAGCAGCTAGCCCTAAACAAATCCGATCTGTCTGGTCATACTTTATATAAATATCTGAGAAGTTCGTTTGCATATTTATTGAATTTACCGTATTTTTGGAATAAAAATAGCTATCTAAATATGAACATGTTCTACTTTCAAAACATTTATAATTGATAGTGTAAAATCAAAATTACGACAAGTCAGCGAAAAATGAACAAATCGATTAATTGTAAATGCTAAAACAAATATATGACGTTGTTAAAATTAAATTTGGGTTAATACACGGATAAGATTTTGTCGTCTGCTGTCGATATCCAAAGCTGTTTGTTGTTATCACTTTAAATGCAAATATGTATGATCTAAATAATTCATACATCAATCATTTACAGTCACCGATTTGTTTTGAAAAATTGTATTTATCAATAAAATATTTGTAGTTGTAGTTGTAGATTAGACTAAAACGATCGTTCATGAGCATAGTGGTTTGTTTCAGTAACCTGGCAAACATATTTACAAACATAATTGTTACCAGTTATTATTAGCATAAAATGGTTATTTTCTATTTTCGTTTCAATTTATCAATTTCATATACAATATGTATGAACAGTAAATGATAGATTTTAGCTTTGTAATTTTTTTGTGTTATATAAGATGAGAATCCAATGTCATTATTGGTATGTAATATAATGCTGATTTTTTAAAGTAGAAATAGCCACGCTATCTTTTAACATATTTTGATGATTTAAGCTTCAATAAGCGATATTTCACTTTATTCCGCTTCTATGAAAAAAGGATTAAGTTTCAGGTCACTTTTTAATATATTGAGCATTTATTGTCAAAGACAAACAATCAAAACGTTTTAGTGCGGGTAAATTTAAGTTTCAATGTGATGATACATGGTCATACCTTTTTCTTAAGAGACACGTGCTCACATGACTCATTTCTTTTACAAAAATAAAAGATAATCGGGGTACCGAGAAGTTACAAATCTATGATTTTCTAAACATAAAATGGAAATAATAGCAAGAAATTGCAATGTAGTAAATTGTTTTTGAGAGTTTGTTAAATAATCATGAAATAAAGAATCATATTTATATATAGTCTCTATCCATTTATATTTTACACATAATTGATGTGTGCATAGAATGTTTTATCTCAATGCTTATTGGTAAACTATTTTACGTTCGTGGTGACGATCATCAGAAGTAAAAAAAAAGTATTTATTGTTTTAGTCTTAAAAATAAAGAATTCAATGTTCGTCTAGTTAAACTAAAACACCAGCATTTGTGTTTCTCTCACTTTTCCAACAAACAAAATGACATGTCATGTTCAGTAAATTATAATAGTTTAACTTGTTATAACATTAACATGTTTTGATTTCATTTTCAGGAAATGGTTTAGAAAAGGTACTTCAACATCAACGTCCATACAATATAAAACATGGAAATACACGGACGATGCGGTAAATACTTTAAATAGTCTTGGTGACCAAAAAAATGCATTTGAAGTATTTATAGACTAGTCTGTGATATAAACTTGGCGTGTTGAGAATATAGTTTATTTTACACTGACTGCGTTTTTCTTAACAAGCCTCATGTATGATCTCTCTCCTTACCTTTCGCTTTTCAAAATCAGGATCGTGGTCCGTCACAATCTTAATGCTTATTTTCATAAAATAAAATTGCATGTGAGATTACCCAAAACTGTGGCAACCCATTAAATATCAGTAAAATTAATGTTGAAATCTAAGTCAAGCGAGCGAGTATTCACATTTACTGTACACATATGTATTCTAACAAGCATTTGATAGTATTGCGGGCAATACAGTAGTCCCCTACCGGTCCCTCAAAAAGTTCTTTAATTGTCATACACTCCTGTGTATTGCCATTTATAATGAATTTGAGGATGAAGTCTGTATTTGAAAATATCAACCACAAAACATAATAAAATAAGTTTGTCTATATCACATTAATGTGTTAAGTTTCCATGCTTAGTAAGGAAATTATGTTTATACAACCTTGTCATATTATTACGATGTGGGATTTTAAAGTAAATCCTATAAGGAATGAAGATGTTGGAGTGAAAATACCAGTTTCTCGAAAAAAATCTAAGTTCAAGGGGGACATAATTCTGGAAATAGTCTTGCTAGAGTATTTAACCTTCTCAAAAATGTCGAGTGATAATAAGAAACATATATATGAAGTTTGAAGTAGATACATTAGGAAATAAAGAAGTTATTTAAAAAAGACAACATTTTTTCCCCTAAAAAATCTAAGTTCAAGGGAGGTAATACTGATATTTTTTGTGCTAGAGTTATAAACCTTGTAACATATGATGTGGTTGATGACCAGAAACTTATATTTAAAGTTTGAAGTAAACACCTTAAGAAATAAAGAACATATTGTGAAAAAGCTGAAAAATTTAAATCAGAAATCTTGAAATTCAGGCTATTTGTTGCCATAGCAACCAGAATTTTCAACATAGGAAGAAAAGAAAAAGATGTCCATAATCTCCAGACTGCCATCTACCCATATTTCAAGTTTCATAAAAATATTTTCAGTACTTTTTGAGTTATCACTGGATCCAGTTTATGTGTTAAATTTGCCATATTTTCAGACTATTTGTTGCCATAGCAACCAGAATTTTCAACATAGGAAGAAAAAAAAAAGACGTGCATAATCTCCATACTGCCATCTATCCATATATCAAGTTTCATAAAAATATTTTCAGTACTTTTTGCGTTATCGCGGGATCCAGTTTTGTGGACGGACGGACTGACGGACTGACAGACTGACTGACAGACAGACAGACGGACGGACAGACGGACAGACGGACGGAGGGTAAACCTAAAGTCCCCTCCGGTTAAACCGGTAGGGGACTAAAGAACATATTGTGAAAAAGCTGAAAAATTTAAATCAGATATCTTGAAATTCAGGCTATTTGTTGCCATAGCAACCAGAATTTTCAACATAGGAAGAAAAGAAAAAGATGTGCATAATCTCCAGACTGCCATCTACCCATATTTCAAGTTTCATAAAAATATTTTCAGTACTTTTTGAGTTATCACTGGATCCAGTTTATGTGTTAAATTTGCCATATTTTCAGACTATTTGTTGCCATAGCAACCAGAATTTTCAACATAGGAAGAAAAAAAAAGACGTGCATAATCTCCATACTGCCATCTATCCATATATCAAGTTTCATAAAAATATTTTCAGTACTTTTTGCGTTATCGCGGGATCCAGTTTTGTGGACGGACGGACTGACGGACTGACAGACTGACAGACAGACAGACAGACGGACAGACAGACGGACAGACGGACGGAGGGTAAACCTAAAGTCCCCTCCGGTTAAACCGGTAGGGGACTAAAAATAATTTTATTTCATTTCTATCACTGCTCTGACATGATAAAATTTATTGTACACATTCTAAAAATAATTTTATTTTATTTCTATCACTGCTCTGACATGATACAGAGCAAATGTGTTCTAGAAATGGTAGAATAAAAGTACCAAATATTCAATCCTTTTTTTAAAAGACCACCGAATGATAGAATCATTTTTAAACTTTTAATGCATTTCGACAAATGAAAAAATTCAAAAAACGGCAGGCAGAATATTCTTTACTAACATTCTGGTTAATAATTATTATGGTCAAAGCTCTGTAATTGTCTTTTTTTTTTTTTTTGTTTCAGTTGTGATGGAAGCAATTGGATTGGTGGAGTAGCTAGGAAAATATTTAAGCATATCATCATCAGTATCATCAAGTTCCTGTTTCTATATTTCCGTTTTGAAACTTGTGTTATCCATCCTGCTTCCCAATTTGGAATTTGTAATATTTCAGGGACTCTAAGATCAAAACTCAAAAGTGCGTAAAGATGACGAATAGGCTATAATTATAATAACATTTTATTATATAAAGTCGTGCTGGCCTCGCTATATTCTGTTTGCAGGTGCGTGCACGCCTCGCTATATTCTGTTAGCAGGTGCGTGTAGGACTCGCTATATTCTGATAGCAGGTGCGTGCACCCTCATATATCTGTTAGCAGGTGCGTGCACGCCTCGCTATATTCTGATAGCAGGTGCGTGTAGGACTCGCTATATTCTGTTAGCAGGTGCGTGCACGCCTCGCTATATTCTGATAGCAGGTGCGTGTCTTTATCATCACTGTAGCATTCAAAGACTTCAACGCAAAGATGCTGCTCACAAACTTCAAATATATGCTTACTGACCTTTCATGTTGGTAGCAGGGAATGACCAAAACTAATTATCACTTTTAAAAATATTGTTTATTGTTCACTGTTTTGACGTTTTGTTCGTCCAGATTTTATTTCGAGTGTCGGAAATTGGGAAGGGTCGGCGTTATTGTTTTGCTAGTCTTGTGTTACATATGCAACAAAATGTGATATATTTTATTTAAAACGAAATAAAACAAAATCAAATAAATCATTTTAATGTGTGCCTCATTTGTTCATTCAGGGATTCAAAAATATTCTCGGGTAATAGAAAAATATATATTTGTACATTAAATAACTGAATTAAAGGTGGATACCTTATATTTTTGTAAACTTAAAATGTCCATGGGGAGAGGCGGAGTTCGAAAAACGTACAAATACTGAACCAGATAGCCAAGAAAAAGCTCCTTAATTAAAAGATTGACGATGAAATAGAGAAAAATAAGAATCCATAAAGAAGCCCAACACAAAAAATGAAAAATGTTGCAAGCTCGGGTTATAATTGAGCATGTTCATGGACGGTACTGTCAAGTGCAAACTACAGTCCACGCCCCTAGCACCGGCTTAAGCAGAATTCAACATTTACATGAAATTGGTACAAGTCTAATTTTGAATTTTAAACATCCGCAGATGTGTTCATTTGGCGGTTATCATGGAACCTTCAATGTGACACGTAAGTGCCATTCCATTGTTTGCCCTAAACGAGAAAACAATGGGGGGAACTAAATAAAATGGAATTTTTGAAAGGGGATCAGAGGTTATGAAGCCTGCATATCACAGATAAGACGTCAAAAGACAAATTTAAAAAGCAGGTCACATATCCTAATGGTGATTCAACAGTTTTCAAGTAAGGAATACTGGAACCACCCAACAAGAAAATAGCCGAATAGAAAGAACTAAATTACCACAAGCACAACAATAATGTCGTGCTGATCGATCTTTAAGCCGCAAAAAGAACAATCGTTTATTTGGTCTCTTTAAAAAAACGAAAGGAGAAATCTCTTTGTATCATGTTTAAAAACAAAGGTCATTGGCATGACGTAAAGTCATTCATTGTACAATGTATAGAAGCATAGTATTAAAAGGTCCACTATTTAGATAATAAATACATTATAATATGCTTTGTGTACGTAACATCTGATGATATCTACGCAAGAAACAATATTTTATATTAAGTATAATCATTATTTTCAGTTTGCTAAACACGATATATATAAAAACGCAAAAATAAGATGCATTATAGTATAAAATACAAACACTAATACCAAAAATGTAAATGTGCCATGTATATCTTAATTAAGAGAAACGAACAAAAGATCTACCGGACAAAAGCCGTCCCGTAAAAAAATGACAAGGCGGACAAAAGCCCTCCGTGAAAATGACAGGGCGGCAAAAGCCCTCCCGTGAAAATCAGTGGGCGGACAAAAGCCATTTTTGGACGGGAGGGCTTTTGTCCGGGAGGGCTTTTGTCCTACACTCCTTAATTAACCAAGGCTACAGGCATTACAGTTACTACACATGACCCATTCCATATACTAGTACCTCACAAAACGAAAATATACGCTCCTCCGAAAACTAGATTCACTGTTTTCCTATATGCATCCATAATGAACTGAAGTGACTTTCAATATGTTTGTATTTATAAGTACATATTGAGAAGAAAAAAACATCATTAAATACATCGAGGGAAAGAATAAAACTGGTTATAAACTTAAAAACATAAAACAAAAGGTGTTTCAATGAATATACTTTTTTACAAGTGGCTTCCGCTCTTTCAGACTTAGTAGGCACGGACCCTGACATTTCATCAGCCATGCATGTTTTGAGACCAAAATAGAAAAACTTTTATGCAATGTTATTAAAAAAGATCAAAATGTTTTGGACCCAAAATTGATAATTGTGCGCTAACAATTGACATGATGTTTAGTGTTTCTCAACAAAGATGGAGAAGCCATTGGATGGAGAAGAACAGAGTCTACTGTTGTTCCCTTTTGACGCTGATGTTGACGCTGATGAAAACGACGTGTATCAATTATATTTCCCTACAAATATCAGGACAAAACAGTCGCTCTTCAGTATATGAACCAAATGGCGTTTTCACTGGCAATACTCACGAGCACCAATCATATCCCTGACTTTGGCTAATGGGCACAATGTATCCTGCACGCGTGTCATTTTAAAAGACTTGGTTCATTTGTGCTTCGATTATATTTTGATTTTTTTTTATTCACATAAGTATTGTTCATCTGAAATTTGATTGGTTGTCGATATGTCAGGGGGCCTTTATTGTCTGGCAAAGAGCCCGAATCTCCGAAGGAATTTGAAGTTGATGTCTCTTCAATGTAAGCGGCTAACAGACTTTCGCCAATGCCACAATTTTGATTGGGGATGATGATACATTGTATGTCGCTCGACGGTTTCTTTGTTGCTAATTGACGTCTAAATAAATGCTTCCGGAACTTGGCGGTCGTGTCGTTTCTTTGAAGCGATCCCCGCTCTAGCCGCTTCTTACGCGACGCCACTGTAGTAACATGCATATTTTGTAGCGCTAGCCATCTACACGTACAGTACTGCATGATGCACTCAACAACTTTCCCTCAAAAGCATTGTTTCTATAAATTGTATTGGCTATATGAATCTATACATTCTAACATTTTGTTGTGAGTTAAGTACATATACCAACTTTGTTCTGCTAAAGCCGTTGCTTTGGGGCGTGGACTTGATTATGATTTTTCTATTTGTGTCCGTCCATAACTTTGTTATTTATGGATGAATTTTAAAATAATTGCAAATAATATGAAGTACACTGGTACGAGGTGTTTCGTTTGTATGCATGAATATGTAAGACATAATGACAATGTGTCGCGCGCATGAATCAGGTCCCTAGCGCAAAGGTCAAACTTGCTGTTCTAATTTCGTGATATTTTTCTCGTAAAAGTGTACGGTCATTTCTAGGTTATTTTAGAATAAGTAATAGTTATAGTTCAGATTTTAAAAAATATGGAATTTATTGCAAGCGTAGCGTAGCGGAGCGCAGCAATAAGTTCTATATTTTTTAAAATATGAACTATAACTGGCTTACCGTTTGACCCACTTTCGTGGAATAAGTCACGTACGAAGTGTCGGTACAGCGTTTGATGTAATACGAGTCCCGCCCTAACTAGTATAGATTGACAGGCCAGCACATGGTCGTAGCGTTTTGACCTGTCAATTAAAGCATTGCATTTTTATGTATTTTTATATCATTAGTCATCATGTAACAATCCTGCGATCAGGCTGTGTTTGACATGAACATAGCAAGAATCATGTTTTTGAACAATTTCATGTCGAATAATACGCAGGTTTTATATGCAGACACAAGCAAAAAGAGGGAAAAGCTCAGGTAAATATTTTATAAAAAATATTCTCGAATTGTCGCAATATCTAACTGCATCATTATCTGAATTGTAACATGACCAAGCGCGCAGCTTTTGTACGCCCAACCAGCACCGAACCTCAAAGTATTGAGGTTAATTATTCAAACATAACATGATTAATCTGCCTAAAATGCTGTTGCAATTATTAAAAAAAACTTTGAAAATCATATTTAAGGGGTTTCTTTGATATTTGCATTTTGCAGGCCGATTTGAAAAGCTTTTGACATCTGATGACATTAAGAAAGACCAGAAATACAGTGCCCTATAATACAACGAAAAACAACAACTGGGCAGTGCGCGTCTGGAGGGAGTTGGCTGAAAACCGCAACCTACAACCGGAGACTAAGCAAGAGCCTGGTTATCCTAATTCCGTTCAAATAGAGCAGTTCCGTTCATGTGCAGAAATGGATTTTTGGTTACAATGATTCATCAGTGAAATTGAAAGGAAAAATGGTGTATTTTATCCACCAACAACTTTACTAAACATTGCTGCAAGGCTACAACGGTATCTTCGAAATGAAAAATCCATGCACGTGAACTTTGTTAAAACTGAAGAACTTTTTTTCTGAACTTCGCAGAATATTGGATCCATGCATGCGCGAGTTGACTAACGAGGGTATAGGGGTCGAAGTCAACTGTTAAAAAAGTTTAGATTTTAACAAAATGTGGAAAAAAAAAATGTCTTGGAATTATGAAAAATGGATATTCTGTATGATCTTTTAAAGATATGTGTTAGTTTCGAACTTTGAGATTTCTCTCGCTCCATGTCTATTATTTTCAGTTATCAGCCACAAACTGTTTTCTAATGTTTGAATTATAACCATGACGGTATAGGGAATGTACTGTTTCAATATTTTTTATACATGTAAAAGCTTGGATTTATAAATAACCGTATGAAATAGCTTTCTTATTTGTTTACTTTATTCGCATGCTACATTCATTGTCTAATGTAAAACTCCGCCCATATCCATAACGTCATATTTGCCAGATACCACGTCAATACCTGTTAAAATAAGTCTACTTATTTTCCACATACACCAGTCCCGGTATAGTGTATGCAATATATTTCAAATAAATTGGAGCATTTGATTGGATAAGAAAGTGGGACAAACGGTAACTTGACATAAGGGTGTTGTACATGGTGACTTTACGCGTCGTATGCAAGAA